TTTCACTGTACTTCTGTACTGACTGCTCATGAAATAAAGGATATTCTATTCTATTCTGTATTCTGCTGTGGTGGCACAGGAGGCTGAATCATTCTTTCTTTTGAATGAGCTGGACAAACAATCAAATGGCAGGCTGTCCCATGAAATTGTACAGTTTTCTGACCCTGTGCTATATGACGACTGTACTTTTACCAGTAGCTCTCTAACACAGAGCTGTGAAGGCAGAGTCGTTTTGTATATTTAAGGCTGAGATAGATTATTGCTCAGTAGGGGAGTAAAGGGTTATAGGGAAAAGCCAGGAAAGTGATGTAAGGAATGTTGTTGGATCAGCCATAATGCTTTTGAATAGTGAAGCAGACTCAAGGGACCAAACTGCCTGCTTCTGTTCCTATTTCTTATTGTTATAGAGTCATTTAAAATCCAGTGAGATTCTCCATATTTAGCTGTTTTTGAAAAAAAAATTCTTAAAGGATGCAACTGTTGTTCGCATTGCCGGTATTTATTGCCCCTCCTAATTGCCCTGTGTAGAAGATGGTGGTGAGTCACCCATCATGAACTACTGCAGTCTGTTTTATTTTGTGCAGGTAAACCCGCAATATTCTTGGAGGGTATTCCAGGATTTTGACCCAGTGACAGTGAAGGAATGACAATATATTTCCAAGTCAGGAGGGTGTGTGGCGTGGATGGAACTTGCAAATAGTGGGGCTCCCATGTATCAGCTGCCTTTCATTCTTTTAGTTGGTAAAGGTGGCAGGTTTGGAAGGTGCCGTGGGATGAGCCTAATGAGAGTTCTACAGTGCATCCTGCAAATAGTACACATTGGCACCCTATTCCTCCATCTGTGCAGTGGCAATCAAGTGGGCAGCTTTGTTCTAGGTGTTGTTGTAGCTGCACTCCTCCAGCTAGTTGAAGAGTATTTAATCAGACTCCTGATTTGTGCCTTGCAGAAAGCTTTGGGGAGCCAGAAGGTGAGTTAATCACCACAGAATTTCACATTTCTGATCTGCTCTGTATTTATCTGTTTGGAAACACCTGCTTCATTCAAAACAAAAGTACATGGTCAATTTCCCTACCACAATGGAAAGAGATTTTAGGAAATCTTCACTTAGATTGCTTTTTTTTAATCACTAATCAGAGCAGCAAGCACTATTTAGTTTTTCAGTTTGCTCGCAGAGTTTCTAAGAGTCATTTGTTGCTCAGTGGGTGCAATTCCCTGTGTCTAAACTGAAGTGGCCCTACTTTTGGAGTACTTCTAGATGCTCATACATTCTGACTTCAGTCAGCAGCCTTGCCTTGAATTTGGTGTGGCCTTTTTGTTTTAATACAATGAAGGGACAACAATTTATTAAATTTTGAATTGACCACAGAGCAATGAGAGGAGGTTGTAATAAGGGGTATAATATCTGAGAGCCATTTCAAGTTGCTGCCTTGTTGGATGTTTGGTGACTTTGTAAATTATGTCCTATTTTAACTTTTGTAATGGTGAGATTTTTGTCCAAAAAGTGTAAACATTTGCCAGTCAATGGACACATCTAAGTTGTCCCTGAATTTGTGAAAAGGTAGTATTATTATAACATTGTTGTTATTATCAGACGTGTGACTTGCAAATCTAATCTATGGTCATTAATCTAAACCAGGTTAAATATTGTTTTCTCTGTGCTCCACTGCATTCTTTTGACTGTTATATTTTGGCTATCAATGTGTCAACATTGGCACAATTGGTAGCACACCCACGCCAAGTCAGAATGTTGTGGGTTCAAATTCCATTCCAGATGTTTGAGCACATTTTCCAGGCTGACAGTTCAGTCCTGTACTGTTCTGTCAATGTTATGCTAAGATGTTGGAAACTGAGGCACTGCCCAACATCCGCTGGTGAACGTAAAGATCCTACTATTTCCAAAATGAGCAAGAAGGTTCTCCATGTCCCTCCCCAAAGCCAATACCACTGAAATAAATGATCTGAACCTTGATGAATGGAGACATGCTGCTGTCCCTAATGTAGGGGAGACAGATTTAGGTCCATCTGTCTCTGCTCTTGCCCAGCAGACAAAGCTGGTCAGCGATTCGTGAAGTTTGTTCCTGGGTAACCGTTGAATTATGGCATAGAAGGAGACCAGTCTCCTGCCTTGTCTCCAGATGCCTGCACACAATTACTGTTTATTTTTGGGGCGAAAGTGGTAACACAATCCAGTGCTTTCTTGAATGCCTCGAATGAACTTACTTTCACTGCACTTACTGCACTCATTGTATGAAAAGGGTTTTCTTCTTTCCCCCCCCACATCACCCTTGCTCTTTTTGCACAATACTTTAAATATATGCCTTCTCATTCTTGTTTCTTTTACAAGTGGAAACAGCTTCTTCACCCTGTGTACACTGTCCAGTCTGTGCATGATTTTGAAAGTCTCTTTGAAAAGCAGATCTCTGCCTTCTTTCCAAGGAGAACAGTCCCACGTTCTTCAATCGATGCTCATAACTGAAGTTTCTTATACCCTGAACCATTCACGCAAATCTGCATACTTTAAAAATACTACACAAAGACATTGCTGGGACACTGGTGTTCTCCCTCCTTACCAGTCCTTGGTATCAAGGATTACTTTTTTTTACTCCAGAGTTATGGGTCCTGAGGTGACTAACTTGTTTAATACTGGAATGAGACCCACTGTCACAGATGGGGCTGGTAGTGCTGTCAGGAACGGGTGGGTGTTCAGGTTTGTCCCAGCTCCTCTTGCTGTTTAAGCTTGGCCTCCATCTAGTCCTGTCAGAGATAGTGAAAATGGTTGGCACCTTTTTTGATGCTTCTTCTCTACGTTGGATGATCCTGGAGTTAAGGAAGGTAGCCATCTTTTCAAGGCTCTTCTCCATCTTCCATGATGCAGTGCTCTACCCCATATCCGTGAAGCCTTCTGTTGGAGTGGAGCTTCCTGACAGAAACTGTTAAACCGGCATAGTCTCCAGTGCAGAACTGAGATGACTTCTGTAATATGTAGATAATGCTCGTTTGTGTGAATGTTCACTTATAGGCCATCCTCCAGACTATTATCAATGTATTTGAAGAGGCAGCTAACTGAATGGGTGTCAGACTGAACAGTCAGAAGCTAAAAGCCTTCTCCCAGCTTATTAATAAATAACAACACTTCTGTACTTTTGTTCATGCCTATTTGCAACAAAAATGATCTGATTTTCAAATTGTGGAGCTCCTGTCATTTAGATTCACTGATATTTTGATGTTAAATGCATGTTTGATGAGGAAATGTTGTTGTCCAGAGCACCTGAATGGTGTGGCCACAAGGTGAGACTGGGCCTATGTTTAATGTCCTTTTGGCACCTTCAATAGAGCACCTTTTCCCATCTATTACATGAGGCAACAATCTTAGACTATCTGCTCAACCATCAAGAGTGGGCCTTAAGCCTGGTACTAAGTCAGATAATACCTTCCAGATAGGATTTGGTGATGTATATAATATAGTGTATAGCATTTGGCTGTCTCCAGAGCAGTGTCCAATGACTACGACCTGCAAACATGACACCAATGATGGTCTACAGGGTAGTAGTGTTCAAAGCCCTCCTGTGCACGTTAATGATAGTGTAGAGCCAACACTCTTCTGTTGTCGTCAGCGGTGCCTCAGCTGCATGCTGCAGATCCACAGGTAGGACAGTGCTCTGATGTCCAGGTCACCCACCCCACCCCCAGGGACCAACATCATCAGTGTTCAGGCACTGGATACAACTAATCTGCTGCGTTGGATGTGACATGTTATCTGCACAACTGACACACAACTTTCACAACAGGCAATCCACAACAGACTGCTTCATGGTAAGCAATTACCAGGAGGGCATTGGAAACAGAATTCGTGAAGGCACTAGGGTTAGTCAGTGGGAAACTGACTTGTGCCATGCTTTTGTCAGTTGGCTTAAACACAGAACATAGCATAAGTGTTTAGTTTCATGCTTCAACTGACTTGGAATTGGAGTTAACATTGATGTAGGCTGCCCTGAAACTGTACTGTAGACTAGGAAAAGAAAAAAAAATTGTATTTATAATAGCACCTTTGACCATGTGTGATCCCAATGCTAATGATGTGTTTTTGACATAAAGGCACCTGTTGTGTGTAAAAGGGACTGCTTTTTCGGGTGCAAATTGTAACATGGAGGTTGGATACTGTGTGTTGTATGACTTGCGAGTACCCAGAGAGCTTCCCCTTTTCTGCAACATCAAGATCAAGTGGGATTATGTGGCATATACTGTCTATGCAAGACTGTGTTGCTTCTGAAGAAGTGAGGTAGATACGATGGTGCTAGGAGTCTGAGTTGGGGAAGGGCTGTTTTATGGTATCCTTCAGGTTAGTCCAGTTGCAGTTTGTTACATACCTGCAAGTCCAGTGCAGCCATAGATGTCCAGAAGCTGAAAACAGAAACTTCTCTTGTGAAAAGACAGAAAATTTGCTAAATAAGTAAGGATGTACATCACTGAACAACTGTCAGTCTTTGATTCCGTATCACTCTATGGATAACATTTGTGTCATTATTGCTAAAATCAAAAGAACTGTGATAAATAACTCTCCACCCCATGCTCCAAACTTTGATCTAGAGAAATTGTCTTTCCTCGTCCATGTTTTTCAGCCAACGTTTTGTTTTATTTGCAAGTGTATGTTGGGTGGGGTGGTGTTAAAGGGATATAGTGAACTTGCGTTGTTATAAATTAGTCATTTTTCTTGCCACTTGTTAAAGAATGTTTGTTCACAAATAGTTATTTTCCTGTTGATGACTAAACTTGGTGTGAATTGTTTCTGTCCTGAATAGCAGCCAGTCAAATTGGTGAACTTGCTGGTTTTATTGGGTTTTTATGCATTTGTGATGGTTTGTGCAATAGTGGGGAATCTAATATCAGTGCATTCAGTCCATTTGAGTTCTATCATGTATAGATCACCAGTATTGAGAACACGCATTTTTTTCCTGTTGCCTTATCTGTCTGACGGTTTTTTTTCCCCTTCTACAGGACCCCATGCCAACAATTATGACCACCGACCACCCTGCGCGTCAGCTTCTGGACTTCAATCAGAAGCTAGACATTAATCTACTGGACAATGTTGTAAATTGCTTGTATCATGGTGAGGGCCCACAGGTAAGAATAAACACCGTTGGATGGTGCAGAGTGGTGCTCTTTCTCTTGACACTTTGTAATATGAGCAGCAAACCTGTGTTTTTACATCGTCCTTTTGTTTTAAAGAATAAGTACATTCTGCTAAATTCACTACTAGATTCAATATTAGATTCCCCACTATTGCACAAACCATCACAAATTCAATACTTTTCTCTTTCCCAGCAACGACTGGCGCAAGAGATATTAACCCATTTAAAAGAACATCCAGATGCTTGGACCAGGGTGGATACCATTCTAGAGTTTTCTCAGAATATGAATACAAAGGTAAGGATGTCCAAAGTTGAGACTGTGGAATGCATTGTAACTAATACAAAGGGGAAGCAATAGATAGTGTATTATGTTTTTTTTTAGAAATAAAAGTGCAATAGTTCAACACCTCACTAATTTTGGAAATGACACCTTCAGAAGGATGCAAAGAGGAACACTGAGGTGAACTGCTAAAAAGAGTCAAAAGTTAAGTTGCTTAAACTGCCAGCCAACCTATAGAAGATAGCTTTGAATAATTCCTTGCATGGTTTTCAATTTAACTGTGTGGGGTTATGTATTGGATCTCAATTTTCCAATAATCCACTTAGAGTTTTTAGCTTTAACTTTTGAGTCATAGTTTAATGTAGGAACTTTGAAAAGGAAATATGTTGTGTCTATGGGCAACAACAAGCCTTTCAACCTCCTTGAGCCTGTTACTACATTCAAGTTAAACCGTGGCTGATCTCTGTCGTAATTCCTATCACTCTCTGAATGGAATTTAGTCAATTTCAGTTTTGACTCATTCGGTTTATGCCCCTAAAAACTGAGAGAGAGTGGCAGATGGACACTCTATTTCAGCTAAACAGAGAGGTAGGCTGACATTATGGCTCAGTGGTTAACACTGCTGCTTTGCAGTGCTATGGGCCCCAGTTTAATTCTGCTCTGGACTGTGTGGAGTTTGTACATTCTTCCTGAGTCAGTGTGCATTTCCTCCAGGTGCTCCTGTTCCTTCCCACAGTCCAGAGATGCGCAGGTTAGGTGGGTTGGCCATGGGAAGTGCAGGGTTACAGGGATAGGGTGGAGGAGGTGGGTCTGGGTGAGATGGTCTTTGGAGGGTTGGTGTGGACTCGATGGGATGAAGGGTCTGCTCCCATACTGTAGGGAGTCCATGATGCATGAGAATTCCTTGCCTTTGTGTTTTGAGTACATTGTCACCATTGTGATACACAAGATTACCCATTCCTCTTTTTCGTTCACATCAGCGTTGCTGGCCTAGCCGATGTTGCCCCACGCTGATGGTCATTCAAAGGCAAGCTTAACTGTGTAGAAAGGTACTTATTGGCAGCACCCCTGAATTATGTAGAAGTAGGCTTTAAGGTTATGCCCCTTGTTTCTGGCTTTAGCTACAAAAGCAGAATACTACAGATGCTGAAAATTTGAAATAAGCACCAGAAACCTGCTGAAAGTACTTCTCTGATTAGCGAGCATCTGAGAAGTGGGAAACAGTGTTAATGTTTCGGGTTGATTAACTTCCATCAAAACTGAAGAAAGACCGAAATATATATTAAACCTGTGGGAGAATGAAGGACAGGTGTAAAACAAAAGTGAAACCTGTTTTAGGGTGGAGAGCAGGAAGGGTACAGCCTCAAAAGATTTTATGATGTAGACCAGCCAGTGACGCCCACATCCCACAAGTGAATAAGAAGATGCCGAAGAGAGTGGTAATGCCTTGGGTACAGAAACCAAGGTTGTGTCCAGATGAGACTTAAATGGTTTCATAGCAGTCATCCGAATGTAACATGGAGTTGGGAAAGAAAAGACTCAAAAAGACACAAGAAAGTGGGTAATGAGATTATAATCTCAAACTGTTGAACTCGATGTGAAATCCAGAAGACTATAGAATGCCGAGAAAAAAGGTGAGATGCTGTTCTTTGAGTTGGCCCAGTCACACTGTTTAATTGTTTTAAATGTTACAGTTCAGTCAGCACTGTTTACACAGTCTGCAAGAGTTCTAACCCAGGAAATACCACCTTCCTGTCTTGTACTTTGGGAAAGTAGCATTGACATAGATAGTTGTGATCTATTTTGAATGCAGAGTAGACTGATTGATTGGCCTGCTCGTGTTCCAGTGTTTATAAAGTGAAAGAGTGACCTGAACGATAATTTGATCGTCTCTTCCCGCTTCCCTTCCTCCTCACTCGTCCTGCTTTTGGTAATCAAAAGTGCTAATTTCAAGAGTCCAAGTATTGTTCGCACCCATGTTCCTTCGCTGTCACTGAGTCAAAATCCTAGAGGAATTCCCTCCCCAGTGACATTGTGGGTGAATCTACAGCAGGTGGACTGCAGCTGTTCAAGAAGGCAGCTCACCACCACCTTCTCGAGGGCAACTAGGGACAAGCAATAAATGCTGGACAGCCAGTGGCACCTACATCCCACAAAAGAATTTTTAAAAGAACGTACTGCTGGATGAGAAATGGTCTGCTTTGAAACAGACGAAGAAAATTACAATAAATCTGTTTGCAATCTACGGTATGTTTAACAGCATAAAATGCCTGTCTGTTTGGATGCCTAATGCTGGGATTTCTCTTTAGGCAGTTGCAAATGTTATAACATTCAAAGTGAAGAAATGTCCTTTCCTTGCATTGGTTATTGATAATTGTAGATTTTTGGCTTTTATATTTTAAAAACACCTGATGGTTATTGTTGGTAACTGAGGAATTCTTCTCCTCTCACTCTCAACAGAGTGGTTTTGATCAACTTCTGTGCTATCTTAGATTTAGCTTCTTACCTCTCATTGAGCTGACGCTAACATGTGACAAACTGAAATTTCTGGAGTAACTCAGCAGGTCCGGCAGCATCTGTGAAGAGAGAAACTGTTAACCTTTCAAGTCTGATATAACTTCTTCAGAGTTCTGCCAGACCTGCTGAATTTCTCTGAGCTACTTCCAGGTTTCCATCATGTACAGTATTTTCCTTATTTCAATGTCTTGTGCTTTGTCTTAGCTAGAAATGGCGATTCAGGTAGATCTTTTCTTTAGTTAGACGGGTTGTGCATCAAAAGTGATACTGTTGGTTTTTGCATTCTCTACTGTTGAAAACAACACTGAAGGTTTTTAATCTCTTTCTCAGTATTATGCCTTACAGATACTGGAAAATGTGATCAAAACTCGTTGGAAAATACTTCCAAGAAATCAATGTGAAGGTGAACGCACTACTTTCCTACCATCTCCAGTGTATTTTTCCTTTTTTTTCAATCCAAGCACTTCATCAGTATTTCCCCTTGTCTCTTCTCCATTGCAGGAATAAAAAAGTATGTTGTTGGCTTGATTATTAAAACATCTTCAGAGACTTTGGAGGTAAAATAAAAATTATGTAATGTAGTATTTGGCATTTTCATTCCAATCTTGGAATTTTCTGTTCCTTTGTTTAAGGCTTGACATTTTCATTGTTTTTACAAAATATGATCACTACAGCAAGCTCTAACTAAGGGTGCATCATAGCAAAGTTGGATGCTGTTCTTGTCTGGCATTTGCAAACACGTATAGCAATCTGGGATTGGAATTCTGGCTTGAAGTGGGAGACATTTTCATCCATGTGTGTTTTACTAGTGTGTCTTAATATAAAAGTGAGCATTTGGGTTAAATAAGTTTGTTTATGAGTACTACTTAACATGCTTCTGTGTCTTTTCTTTTGTAGAAAGATAAAGTTTATCTTGGAAAACTGAATATGATTCTTGTCCAGGTTGGTAAAGGTGTGAGAGTGCAAACTGGGGAAAATAATCCTTTTTATTTTTTTGTTCTTTTCCTGAACCATGGGTGAAGTGAATGGAATCTCAGTTGAGGTGTTACTGCAGAAGGTTCAACCTTCTGATCAGGGCTGGCTGCTTTTCTTGACCCCCCTGGCTGATATTCATGGGGCTTAGCAGAGTCTGTCTCAGTGGCCTTTGAACATGATGGGTACCCTGTGTGGGTACTTCCCAACTGGCATTCATTTTGTCTTGCACTCTAGTTGGGGTGGGAAAGGAAAACTGTGACTTTTGTTAGCGTATGGTCTCCTGGCTGCTGCCTTCCCATGAACTGTTCACTGTTCACAAACCTCTTTGTCTCCCTATCCTGGGTCCTATTACAAAGTTCCACTTTAAGTTATAAGTATAAAAATTTGCGAATATGCTCTGTAATCAATTTTTCATTGTCTTGCCTAACATGAGAAGGAACCATAATCAGAAAGTCCTAGGTTTGATATCAGTTTTATGTTGGCTGTGATTGAGATGAAAGTATAATCAGAGATATTTTATTGAACCTGTTGAGAGATGTTGCGATGCACCACTGAAGCAGGTGGGACTTGAACCTGAGCCACCTTGCTCAGAGGTAGGGATACTACCACTGCACCACAAGAGCCCTTCTAACTTACATGGCCTGACTAGGGATAAGCAGCCAGGAGCTGTACGTTGCTCCTGGGAATGCCCATCTGGGCTCAGTTATAATGTCCTGTAGCAATATGGCATGGCTACGTGGGCTCCATACTATAGGGACAGTCCCTGCCTGGGGAACCAACACTCAACATGGTCTTTGCAAATTGAGGGAATACATATTGAAAGGAGCAGGAAAGAGTAAATTAACAGGTAAGGATTTTAGACCCTTAAAGAAAGGAGTTGCATTGTATGCAGGTGTGCCCGAGACTTTTTTTTTTTGCATTGTTCCATGTAAACTAATTTAGGTTAGATTTAGTTATTTGTCGCATGTACTAAGTATAGGAATACATAATTACAGCAAAAAGGGCACAAAGTCACCATTCACTCTTGCCCACTTGGTTACACAAACCAGAATTAAAAGATTTAACAGAGTCAAAAGGTAAGCAAGAAAAGCAAAAGTCCAGATCTCAGAGTCCCAAGTCCCATCTCCACAATGGTGCAGGTGCCACTCCAATTGCTAGGCCACCCTCGCTGCCTTATCAGCCTGCACTCTCGCTGCCACCTCACTGGCCCGCACGTGGGTCACAGTCGTGACCCGACACCTCCTCGACTCCTTAGGTAGATAGTTATAAGGGCGGGGAGTTGCAGGACAGAGAAAATTACTACAGAGAGGAGAGAGAAGAAGGAGAAGAAGAAAAAAGAAAGGATAAGGAAAGGGAAAGGGAACTGGTGAGCAGACTGGAGCTCCCAAATGGAGCATCTTAACCCTGCCGTCGTCATGTCCTAAGAGTCATAGAGCTGTACAGCATTGGAACAGACCCTTCAGTCCGACCCATCCATACTGACCATATATCCTAAATTAATCTAGTCCCATTTGCCAGCTTTTGGCCCACATCCTTCTAAACCCTTTCTATTCGTATACCCACCCCAGGGAAAAGACCTCGGCTATTCACTCTATCCATGCCCTTCGTGATTTTATAAATTTCTATAAGGTCACCCTTCTGCCTCTGATGCTCCAGGGAGAATAGCCTCAGCCTATTCAGCTTCTCCCTTTAGCTCAAACCTTGCAACTCTGGCCACATTCTTGTAAATCTTTTTTGAACCCTTCAGGTTTCACAATATCCTCCTTGGGGCAGGAAGTCCAGAATTGTACGCAGAATTCCAAAAGTGGCCTAACCACTGTCTTGTACAGCTGCAGCATGACTTGTTTTTGACTGCTGTTTTTAGTTGCAGTGCATTATCATGTGCTTCCCATGTGCAGATCTGAATGTAGCAGGTTCAGACTGGGCTGCAATACCAATCAGTGGTCTGTGCTCGCTTGTACCATTGGAGAGCCACTGGGGTGAGATGCTGAGGCCAGTGGCTACTGCCTGTGGGATGACATTATAGTGACACCTTGGTACCTAGATGATCTGGGACATAGATTATATAGATTAGTGGAGGCAAAAGTTGACTTGGTTTGTCATTTTGCACCCACATGTACATTAAGTGATGCATGACCTTGCTAACAATGGGATCAGTCTTTGATTCTCTTCTGTATGTAATTCTTGTGAAGAAACCTATCTTAACGAGATAACATTTTCTGTTTCTTCGTTATATCGGTTTTGAAGACTGCAGCATCAGTTCCTTGTTTGCAACGCTATTGGAGGTTAGGTCTGGTGGGAAGGAATAGGAAGAAGTCTGTTTCTTTCACTGACCCAAACTCACCTTCCTTTCTGCGGATTCCCCAATTTAGTTAATTTCCCGAAGTGAATGTCTACAAAAGATAATCTTCGGGTTCTCACCACCGAAAGAAAATTGCTGAATGTCAAACCATGTACAGCTTTAGTTGTTCACTCCTGGCTGAAAGTTTTCTTCCAGTTTAACCCTCACTAGCCAACTTCTATTGATATCAGTTGTCTTTTTTAAGGGAAAAAATATTCTTTTAATTTAAGCCAGTTACTTGTGGCTGGTGGCAATGATGAATGGCTACATGATACATAATTTTGATTACTCTGGGAACAGGTGGGAGTTGTATTGGTAGGTAAGGAATAGGGAATTTGTTCTTGGATTTTATTCTAACCTAATGCTACTTTGAATTGCAGATCCTTAAACATGAATGGCCCAAAAACTGGCCAACGTTCATTAGTGATATAGTCGGAGCCAGCAAAACCAGTGAATCTCTATGTCAGAACAACATGGTTATTTTAAAACTCCTCAGCGAAGAAGTTTTTGATTTCTCTAGTGGACAAATGACGCAGGTGAAAGCCAAGCATTTAAAAGACAGGTGGGTGAACAGAGCTGAACATTCTCAAAATCTGTCCTTCCCTTGGGCTGGGAAGTCTGGAGGATCATACTCCTGGTGTCTTGCATAGTTTCCTCAAGCAGTCAGCCATTCATCTGTTGCAAGCTTGCAGAGTGACCTCCTGCAAGAAGCTGTTCGACTGTGGTTGGAAGTATGACTCGAGTTAGAGATCTGGCTTAGACAGCATTTTTTAAAAAAAAATGTGCAGCAGGATTTGTATCGAGGACAAAAATGTACTCGAAAGATTGGTGAGAGCAGATTCAATGACCATTTTTAAAAGGTACTGAATTGTTAAGACTATGGAAAGAGGCAAGGGTGAGCGTGACAGTGGTAATGGTAGGCCAGGGTATTGTTCTGGAGGCATGGGTTCAAATCCCACTGTGGTAGTTAGTGGAATTTAAATTCCAGTGGTTAAAAATCTGGAATGGTACAACTAGTCTCAGTGATGACCTTGATAACGATCATTGATTGTTGTAAAAGCCCATATGGTTCACTAATGCCCTTTTTTTTTGTGAAAGGAAATCTGCTATCTTTGCCTTGTTTGGCTTAGATGAAAGTCTAGACCTATTTAATGTAGTTGATTGTTAACTGTTCAGTTGGAGGTTAACTTGCGATGGGCAATGCATGCTGACCTTACCAGTGATATCCACATCTCAGAAAACAAAGTGGGGGAAAAAAATCCATGAAGGATTGAATGGCCTCACGTTCTGTGCTATATATATTGCAAATTGCTATTTTGATCTAACAAAGTTGGGGGTGTGGGTGTAAATTTGCGCACATGCTGGTATTTGCACAGTATTTCAATTGATGAAAAGTCACCAAACCTAATCGGGCATTAGGCTGAATCTGTACATGTGTGGATGCTTGCTTTTGAAGGTCACTGGACCAACAGTAGGGCTGACAGGGAGGAATGGTGTTTCCGTTCTCAAGCTTGAGACCACTTAGTGTACCAACATCTGTCTGAGTTTGGCCAAATGATGGGGCAAAGTCTGTCTTGTACTGTCAGAGTTAGTAAGCAAAAATCTTCCACCTGACTTTTGGGCAGTGCAACACATGCTTCTTTAGACAACGCTATTGTTTTTGCCTCATTTTCCTGTTATTTTTATCTGAAATTGCTCTTTCGTTTTCTTCCTGCAGTATGTGCAATGAATTTTCGCAGATATTTCAACTCTGTCAGTTTGTAATGGTGAGTAATTACTGGATCAAGTAGAGCGAAAAGTAGCCATTTGTTAGGTCTTGGCACACTTGGAAGCATCAAAGCATCTGAAACAAAACTTTGTTTTAATTTCGATTTCTAGTATTTTGTATAAGAATTTTGTTTATTGTGTCTGATCATGGTTTGTATGTTTTCAGGAGAACTCCCAGAATGCCCCTTTAGTCCATGCGACCCTGGAGACGTTGCTGCGGTTTCTGAACTGGATCCCTTTAGGTTACATCTTTGAAACAAAACTCATCTCCAGCTTGGTATACAAGGTCAGATTTGCCAATTTGCTTTGACTGTCTAAATGTCCTTTTGCTTTCTTAAAAAAAAATCTCATATTTTGGTCCTTTTTGACTCTGGTGACTTTGTGAAATGGGGTGCAATGAAATCAAGGCCATTGGAGAACCATGAGAGATTTTGGTTTTTCTTTTTTTTCCTCTCAGCAGCAGCCGTACTAGTTTGCTGTAAATTGGTTGTTAGAATTGACAGCTGCCCTCATTTTGAAGACAAGGTTTGTTTAGGGTTGACAGTTTCTGCCATGTGTCTTCATGCAATTTGAAAGTCAATTCTCAAACAGTAAATCATTGGGCACGTGGTGTAGAATGTCCCAGGAAGTAGTGGGATCCACAGTGCTGGATTTATTTCCTTCACTTGCCTTTTCCACTGTAGCTCTGCTTCCATGTTAAAGATGTTTGGACTCTGTGTGTTAGAGTCCAGTGGGCAAATTTGTGCCATTTACATCATTTGTAGAAAACTCCTCCTGGATTATTAAACTTAGAGTTGCCACACTTTAAACATAGCTTCAGAATGTCTTCTGCCATTTTCCTTCTCCGCTAGCAGGTATTGCCTCTCACATCTAACCCTTGTGGGGAGGCTGTGGTGTCACGGTAATGTCACTGATTTGTTGTTGTCACGTGTACTGAGATACAGTGAAAAGTGTTGCTTGGCATGCTATACAAGCAGACCGTACCGTGGGCTAGAATTTCAGGATCCCAGCCTAATATCTGGAGAAACGGGCATGAATGCCACCGTGGCAGATGGTGAGATTTGAATTCAATCAAAAATCTGAAGGAGAAAAGCAACCATGTGACTACAGCCAATTGTTGTAAAAGCCCATCTGGTTCAGGGAAGGAAACCTGCTCTCCATGTCTGCTGTTGCCTACATATGACTCCAGACATGCCGCAGTGTGGTTGACTCTTAATTTGACTGTTGATGGGCAATAAATGCTGGCCTAGCCAACTGTGCCCATGACCTATAAATGTACAAAAAGAGGAAGTTGGCATAGGCCGTGTCACTGCAGAGAAGAGAGATTTCTGGTGCTGTCCAAGGACATTTTGATTGATAGAATTGGTGGCTCTCCCATCACCAAATTTTTCGTGACATTTATTTTAATCAACTCTTAACTGCCATTAGTAAAACACATATATGTTTTCCAATTTGATTAATTTATGTGCAAAACCTGTTAAGGGCAGTGTAGACCATCAAAGCTGAGGGTGAAGTAGGAGGAGGGGACTAAATCAAATGGAGTTGGAAGGGGTGGGTTTGGGTTTAATTCACCAAAGACTTAATGCTACTAAGACCTGGAGATGCAGGCAAATCAGTGGAAGTTGAATTAAATCTTGTTTGTAACCCTGAAGACTACTTGGTGTTCACTTATGTCACATTCTACAACAAGGTCCTTTTTTTTTTCCCCGTTTTGGAGGATTAACTGAGGAGACACTGAAACAATCAAATTTTTACCCATGCTGCACCCTTCATTTTAAAGGGCGAGTATATTAGAGGCAATAATTTGTTTTGGGGGCTTCTTTCGATGCATTAGAAGTTAATCATTGGGCAGAAAGTTGCAATTATATAAAGTGGCGCATTATCCATTCAGCACATTTACTTTAGTATGAGGGACTGGATCATGTAGATCGATGTTTTGATTTGAAAATTATTTTTCTTTTCACCAAAAGGCAGTGGTTGGTGGGTCAATGGAAATTTAGGTTTGAGCATGTAAGAACTAAGAGCCAGAATAGGTGGCTTTGCCTGCCAGTCAACAGGACTGTGACTCCTCTTCTCCTTCAGCTCCACCTCCCATGTTATCTCCATAGTAACTAAAAATGCACTGACTGTTGTCTTGAATATACTGTATGGCAAAGAATTGACTTTTATAAGGGATAGCGAGTTCCAAATTTTCATATTTCTTTAAGCAAAGAAATTTCCCTTAATCATGTTTCTAAATGGCTGGCACCACCTTTATGCTGAGACTCTTAGCCTGTTATCTCGTTATCTCTCTCTCTCTCTCTCTCTCTCTCTCTCTCTCTCTCTCTCTCTCTTTTTCTTCTCCCCTGTGAAGTTTAACAACTTAATATGCTTCAAATAAATCACCTCTTGCTCTTGTGAACTCAAGGGAATATAGGCCTAGTCTGTTCGTTATCAATTCATACGACAGTTTCCCCTATGCAATCTGGCAAAGCTTTATCACTTTCCCTCTAGGGCAATTTATTTTCTTCCTTGGGTAAGGAGAATATAACTCTCCCCGGTACTCCTACGAATGTGGTCTTACCAGTGCCATTGAATAATTGTATAAGCAATTTTTACTCCTGCTCTGTTTGGGACAAATAAATGCACCATTTGACTTAATTGCTTGTTTCACTGGCATGTTGCTTTGTGTACAAGGGCTCATGTCTCTTTGATTGCAAACTCTTTCTATCTCTAGAGTCAAAAAATATTATTTTTCTAATTTTTTTCTGTCAAAATGCACAACTTCACACTTTGCCACATGTACTGTATCTAACCTCATTTTGCCCATTCACTTGTAGCCTTTTATGTCCCCCTCGCCCTTTTTTAATTTCCCACCTACTTTTGTATCGTTAGAAAATTTTAAGATGTATTGCTTTTCAATAAAAAAAAACATCAGGGAATATGGGTCAGAGGTGGATGGGCAACATGGTGATCATTGATCATTTTAAGCCATGACCAGGTGAATATCTAAAGCTTGAGGAAGTTAATGGCCTCCATGTTCTTTTGCATAGAGTATTTGGATTTTGTCAGTGTGGTACCTTGTGTTTTGCTAAATATTAGCCTTGATAATGAAACTAATGTTAACATCTTGCACTAATGTGTACATGTGCATAATTCATTTGAAAGCCAGGGTGAGACCATCTCTAATAAATTTTATAGCATCTTGGGCTAATCATTAGGGAAAGAAAGCACGAAAGCAAGGAAGTTGGGCTAAGCATGTGCGAACACCAGTTCAGCCTCAACTGGAATATTGCATCCTCACGTTTTAGGAAGCGTTTGAATGCACGAGAGAGAGCGTAGAGAAGATTGAAGAGAATGGTTCCAGGGATGAGGAACTTTGGTTATGTAGATAGATTGGAGAATCCAAGACTGTTCTCCTTAAAGAAGAAATGGTTGGAGAAGAAATTTGATAAAAGATGACGCAGAACCTGGGAGAAATGGTGCCTATTGTGGAAGGATGCTGAGCCAGTGGATGCCAATTTTAAGATAATTGGCAAAAAAAAGCAATGTTGACATGAGGGAAAAAAGTCTTTCTCTCACAGTGAGTGGTTCAGATCCAGAAAGTGATGAGGGATGGTGGAGGAAGGGTCAGTTGAAACTTTCAAAAAGGATGTAGATTGTTACTGAAAAGGAAACATTTGCAGGGCTTTGAGGAAAAGATGGGAGCGTGGCACTCTGTGAAATACTACTTCACAGGGCTAGCTTAAATCTGATGGGCTGGTTGGTTGACTCCTGTGTTCTGTAGGCATTCTGTAATTCTACATAGCACTTCTTAGAGAGAAAAATCTTCCCATGCCATTTTGCAGCTGAGGGCAGTAAATTTGATCGTTTGGTATCCAGCCAGAGGAAATTGTGGCTGGAAAGTTTAGATGTTGGACAGGCAATCTGACCGAATTGAGGATGAGCTGAGCGAGGTGATGAATTGGAGGTTAGGTTTTTACTGGCATGTGTGGACTTTATCCCATTCTCTAACCCCTGAGGAGTGAATGCTCCCAACTGAACAAGCCCTGTCATATCAACCTCATTTTTGTAACTGGTGTGTTGTCTGAAATTTTATAATGATGAAATAATAATTTTTAATGTCTGTGTACACTGCAAAGTTCTATTGGATGGCTGTCAATGGGCAATTCAGTGCCGAGTGCATTCTTCAGTTTAAAATGGAGTTAGCTGTTAGAGGTAATTGGATGAAGAAGGAGAAATATAATTTAACATTTTTTAAACAAAATGTTGCATTTTCTGACCATATTGATTTCTGTGATGAATTACTGTATTGAGATTTTTCATGAGAAGTGCATTTTTGATTTTTCATGCTTATAGTTACCACTTATAGTGATTTTATAGTTTTCGGTGGTGGGACATTGCCACTAGTGGGAAGGTGGAATTATTGATTCACAATTGTGTAGGTTATTTGGAAAATCTGTGTAAATTTGAACTTTAATAATTTCAGATGTGTGCACGATGGCAAGCTGTAAACTGTACGTGACTGCACCATTGAAAAGGCATTTTTTTAAAAAATAATGCTGGTTGTTAATGTTTATGAACTCACTCAGCAGCAACCAGAGAATTTTCTGATCAACTTTGGAAAATTCTCCAGTTGATGCTGAAGGACTTTGTAAACGTTAACATAACTTTGTCAACAACATTAAAACCTTAGGATTGATGCTCACATCTTGTTTAGTTTGCTTCTCTAATGTTTACCATGTAAAATTTATTATTTATAATTGTAAACTTGAATTTACCTAAGAGTTTTCTAAATGCTCTGCTGGGGGCTTGTACATGGAAATTAGACATCACAATAAATGGAAAATTTTGACCAGAAGTGTCTCTAATGTCATACTTGCGCGTAGGTATAAGCCTTCAAACTCCGTTATCTATTTTAACTTAATTTTTTGCACTTCTTGCTTAGTTTCTGAATGTACCCATGTTTCGAAATGTGACGTTGAAGTGTTTGACAGAGATTGCTGGCGTTGGTGTCAGTCAGTATGATGAACAGTTCATCTCGTTGTTTACATTAACACTCATTCAGCTCAAACAGGTAGGTTGAAATTGTTGTGGAATTTGTCAGTATTTGTGACTTGTATTCGTCATTGGGTTGAATGGCCATCAGAATGGTACAGGATCTAGCACTTAATTTGCTGAACATGCTATGCACAGGTTTGACTCAGCAAGGTTAGTGAGAATTGGTTCCAGAGGACTTGGACTCAAATGACACTCAGTTCAATCCTTTTTTTTGGTAATCCAGCAGAGGGTTTAATTGATTTTCTTTTTTTTATTATTAAGTCACTAGTTCTTCCCCATTTATCCCCAGTGCTCATTTATTTTGGAAACTAAATTGTGTCATACAGATACAATTGTGGATTTTGTTGTATTGTAACTGTGTGTGGATTCAGTCTCCAAGCTCTCTTCCCTCTTTTTCAGATGCTACCTGTGAATACTAACATTCGCCTTGCGTACGCAAATGGGAAGGATGATGAACAGAACTTCATCCAGAACCTGAGTCTGTTCTTGTGTACTTTCTTGAAGGAGCATGGTACCTTAGTGGAAAGGACAATGGAGCTCAGAGAGGCACTCTTGGATGTAAGTATGAACTCAAAGACTGTGATAATTTCTCTGCCCCTTCCTTCAGTAACTCCATTACTCTCTGACCTCTTCACCTTTCCCCTCCCTTCCAGTAACTCCCAGTGGCATTGCAGATCTCTACAGGTTAGGCTCCTGGTGCCTTAGGCAGTTAGTTCACTGTTCTTAATGAGAAAGAAGAGATGTTGAATGTTGAAGGGATGATTAACAAAGGAATGTTTAAAACATGGGGAGGCTGGTGGGGTAAATGGTTTGGCATGATGGAGGATGCCATGAGTATTAACTGACACATAGTGATGCGTCAGTGGTTCAACAGCAACGTTGGTATAGTGAGCATAGTGACAGTGAAAATGTTGGCATCTAAAATGAGACCAGTGGCTGATTGTTTTGTAATCTCAAGAAATCCCATAGTAGCTGTCAGACAAGCACAAAGTGTATTCATTATTGTATTAGTTCTCAGTGCAGCCATCATATTATAGGTTGGCCGAGCAAACTCATTGGGCTGAATGGCTTACCTCTGCTTCTGTCTTTTACGTTGAAGTCTTAATAAATATTGAACTCAAGCAAATAAGTGTTACTAACTTTTTATTTTTGTTTTGCTGTTTTGATATACTAGGGTCTACACTACATGATTCTTGTGTCAGAAGTGGAAGAGATAGAAATTTTTAAGATCTGTTTGGAATATTGGAATCATTTGGCAGGAGAGCTTTATCGTGAAAATCCATTTTCTATTAGTGCCTCTCCTGCTCTGGGCAATCCTCACAGTGACGTCCCACCTCGGAGACAGATCTACTTACCAGTGCTGTCAAAGGTGTGTATGATTTTAACCAGTGTAGGTGGATCCTAAAGGCTGGTGTTGTACTATCCCAGCTTGTTCACGTCTGTAAAATATAACCTTGCGTTCTCTTATGTTCCTTGACATGGGAGCTCTCAAGGTTTTCAAATTATTGGTTAATGGATGCCAGTAGTGTGTAAATCTGTAACTGCCACTTTTAAAAATCCTATGGAATCTTTACTAATGATCCTCTGTTCATTTTTAGTGGGTTT